TTATCATAGGGAATTAGCCACAGAAGTGCGCTTTTGGGTAGGAGTGGAGGCAGTGCCGTAAAAACAAGTTTTAGATGGAATTCTAAGGGAAGAATTCAGTTGACTAACACCTGTATGAGCAGGGAAGCTATTCCTCCCAGAGCTGGTATTAATTAGCTTGTGAAAGAGAAGACTAAGCAAAAGGCAATTGGAGAAAAAAGCTATAGAGAAGGAAAACTTCAAGATGAACTTTGAAACTCATGCATATACAGAGACCGTGAAGTTACAAGTCAAGTTAGAAAGGAGCATAATTGATAAAAGGAAGAAAGGAATATAGAAATCATGACATGAGACAGTATTGTAGCTGAAGAAAAGCACAAAAAAGCAACACAGGAGGAGAATGGTGTCCACAGGAAGAAGTTCAGCAGCATCAACATGAGGAAGACAAAAGGCTGAAGCTGAAAGCAACGTTGAGGGGTAAGGCAAGCAACTTAAAGGGATTTCATGTTACCTAGGCTCAGCTTAGCAGCTTGAGTGTCAGAAGAGGAGTAACCATTTGTGATTTAGGGATCATTACATGGAAAGCATTAATCTTGAAGTCACTCAGAAAAGGATTCTGAGAAAGGAGGCATCAAGATAGAACCTTGAAGGACAGCAAGATTACTTATTCCAAACCTGATGAGTCTTAGTTACGTACAATACACAAAACCACACTATATTCTATTTTAATGACCCACTGCATTTAGTGGGTATAAATATAGTACATCTCCACACTTCTCTATCAAATACACTGATTTTTTTTTTCTTTTCTAAAATAGCCTGCTTGTTCTGTTCTTTATTAGTTTTAATACTTACAACGCTGTTTCCTGCAGTCACCTCAAGTTCTTATTAAGCTGCAGAATAAAAGCCCTCAATAACGTAGAATAGTTTTTTTGGCACAGGCCACATCTCTTCACAAACTTTTTCACACAATGATTACTTTTTCCATAGCTATTTTGGAAGATTGACTTGAAATATCCAGATACTTTTAGCCTGGGTTATGGGTAGCCTACAGAGACATTACAGTAGAATAACATTGCATACTCTAAGTTCATCCCATCTGTTCTGAGAAAGTTTTACTGAAACCTTCTTACATGCGCATGCCTTTGGTCATATACATGCATCAAAAAAATGGCTTAAAGCAGGGATCCAAGAGTTTTATTCAGAAAACACCATGAAATAGATGAAATATAAGGCTCAGGGCTGCTGCACGGACAACTTCCTGCTTTTCAGAGAAGCCTGTTACTAAACCCAAAGAGATTTTCAGGGCTCTAGAGTAGGATGTGTAACACATTCAAGAGCACAGACTCCTCCCAATCCTGGCAGCATGAAATGTCTAAGGCCAAACATGCAGCGGCCTCACCCTGTAAGGCAACAGAAAGCGCGAAGTATACAGATGCGAGCTTGAATATTCACCTAGGCCTGACAGAGAGCCTGTAGTTGCTACTGCTTCAGTACTTATCAACTTCTATTAGATGACCACAACAAAACACTGTTTTGAGGACTATAGTACAAGGCTTCTAAGGCTGCGTGCAACAAAAACCTTACACTTTCCAGCACAGTGGTTTAGATTCTCGTCATCTTCTTTCATTTACAGTGTCATGACAGCACCAAGCTTCTGCCTCCTGCATGACTTCTGCAACCTCTACACCAAAAGGCTAAAAAGCCTACATAAAAAGGACCAGTTCCAGGAGGAGTGGAGTGGTTTTGTTTTCACATGGTCTTTTTGTTGTGCAACAGCACCATCCAGCTGTCAAACAAAAAAACTGAAATATCTTAACATCAGTATCCAGATTTGGTTTTTGTAATACTTTGGATTACAAAAAAGAACACAGCCAAGATGAAGAACTCTGAAACTATTACAAAAATGGAAAATCTTCTCCCTGATTCTGAATGATTCATATTAGTCCTTTATGTTACATGCCTGTACATGAACTCAGAAACGTGCTTTAGAAAAACTAAGAACCCAACCCAGTTTATTACTGCTCAGTAAGACTTACTGTAGCTTACCTCTGTGTTTCAGTGAAGTGTAAAATATAAGCTCTCATATATGAGGAAAAGACCATTATCTTTGGCTCATAACCAAAGACAATTAATCACACTACAAAAATTAATGGAAAAAAATCAACCCTTGCACACATAAGAGCCTATGTTTCGACTACCATAATTTACCACCCCTGAGCTTTACTAGTAAAAGCAAAACCAGCAACCTCCAGTAAGGGGAAAAACATACACCTAAAAAAAAGCAGACTTAACTAATGGGATAACTCTTGAGAGGTATTATGGGCAGGAGGAAGAAAACTTTTGCTTTCTAAGAGTCTTCATAAAAAAAAAGTTGTTTGAAAGTAACAAGGCAGGCTCAATGGAAACACATGGGCAAATCACATATTCCCTAGAACTGATGATTGACTACCTGAATTAAACCCATACGGCTATTGCCTAAATTGCCCTGAGATCTTCACCGAGAACCCAGCTTTGTCATAACATCCCCAAGCAGTTTACCATGTGTACTCACTGATGATCAGAAAGTCTCTAGTACTATAAACTGTTCCTGCATTACTTGTACCTTAGCTTGTCCTGGGATCTCATCCGGCTTTTTTGCCTTGTAAGATATTTTGAGTCATGAAAAGTATCTTTGTTTCGGATTTTCTAAAGTCCAGTAGTTTAAAAAGTCCACACGCTCTATAAGCAATACAGGCTGTTCAGGTCTAAAGATAAGTCACTCTCTTACAAGAAAGCAAATAAACAGTGGAGACTAGTAAGCAAATAGTAGCAGGAAGAATTTGCAAGTGTGAAAACCAAGGAGAAAGGGCTTTTCCACATCCAAAAGGTGAACTAGAAAAGAAAACCTAGGATAGACAAGTGAGATGACTACCTGAAACTTCAGCTTATGTAAGAAAGAATGAGCATAATTGCTTCAAAAAGATGTCTTTCCTCATACACTAAAACATACAGTAGATTTAAGTGTAGGCCCTGAAAATAAGCATGCAGCAACAGGAAAAACAACAAGTATGAGAATAGTAACTAAAGCCATAGGAGCAAATAGAACATGCACAAAGATGCAGTAAAGGTGCCAATTGACAAACCTCTGCCAAGTGAGAGAGCAGGTGCCATTAGAGGAGAGAAGCAGCAAGACGAGAAGACTCCAGAGAGCTATAATCCTAAGGAAAAGGGAACAATCAGCTCCCTGAAGGCTGTGAATAAATAGCTCAAATAGAGACATTGGCCATTAAGGAAATATCATGGCTAAGCTGGACAATGAAATGGAAAAAATTCTGCTATCACTAAGAGAGGGAGAGCATGCAGAACACAGAATCTTCAAAAAGAGGACCTGTATTAGAGAATCATTACAGGACTACTTCACCATTACAGAAAGAACAAAGCTATCAGAAAAAAAGGTGGAATAAGACAAACCAAAGAGCTAGAGCCAGTGAAAGAAAGAATTTGGGCCAAGCAGGCAAGAAGAAAAGACTGGAAAGCAGGAGGGTATTGAAAGAATTTGGAGGTGATAGGCAAGTCAGAGCTTTTGAAGTTATTATGGAAGTTTCTTCTCCATACCACACACAAGATATGATGAACAAGAGCTTAAATTGCAAGTACAGAGAAAATAATTTAAAAAAATTAAGTATCTGGCAACCTTTATTGGAAAAATTTTTATTTCCCTCACCAGAGCTCACTAGAGAACTTGCTACACGGTTTGGAGGCTGGACAGTTATGCACAGGGAGCTGTATATTGAAAAAGCAGAGACTTACACACTCTTTCCAGCAAGAGAAAGAAAGGGTATGATCCATTCACCGCTGAAACTCAAGTGAGTAAGAACAGCCAGAACGAAAAAAATAAAAGCAGACATTACCAAAAACTAATAAAGGGAAGTTACCTCCACTAGTTACTAGTCAGGTCAAACAACAAGGGGGAAGGTGGAAACAGAAAACCCACTGAGCATAGAAATAGGCCTCTAATGGAAAGAGATGAGGAGCAAGCCAAAAGGAGAAACTGGAAGCCATGAAGTCTTTCCAAAACACTCTAAATAGATACAACACTTTTACACCATCCTCCATGAGGTCAGCCAGAGTTCTGCCAGCCTCATTGCAACAAGTCTTAAAGGATTTCACATGGAACTTGAGCTCATGACAGTGTTTTTTTCTTGTTTTATCACAGGGTGTAATTTTAAGCCAGGGCACCAGAAGGTAATCAAGGTAGGAAGGTAGCATTTCACTAGACAGTAACCTGATTACACTTACTAGCTGTTCAGTGTAGTGAAGGAATCAATCTTAATTAATAGTAATTACCTGTTCAAACTGCAAGCTTTGACCAGTCCTGTATGAGGAAAGGTTTCCAAACCTAGGCCATCAGCTGTCTAGAAAGTCTTACATAGATGTACTATAGTTAAGCCTGCAGTGTCACTCTGTATGTATTTACATGTCTACTAGCTCCCTCCAAGCAAAGTATCCATTTACTATCCAGAGAAGGTACTATTACTACTCAGTTCAAACCTGAGTTCAGTTCATCTTCATTAAACTCTAACCTTGTAACAAGCAAAGCTTGTCAATTTGATCTAGAGCAAGCTTTTGCTTTCAGGGATGAGTGCAGTCGTAAGCCTTCCTAAGGACAGCTTGTTGAATTTGAGATTTTAGTTCATGAACAATCTTATTTAAACCATGGACATGGAATACAGTCCACATGAAAATACTGATGCAACCACATATGCAGAAATGCAAAACAACCGTTAGAATAGCTAGACACAAGAAACATGCTGCAAAGTCTTTCTATATCTGCTTTGTCCTTAGTACTATATTGCAACTCCCACCATCACCCCTTTTTGAACAAACTTTTCAGAAGTCCCATTAATTTGATAGCAGTTTGTAACATGTTAAGTTTCTGCTTCCAAAGTGTCTAGACATAAGTTGTATCAGTACCCACAGTTTCCAGTGAAAGACCAAGTTCCCATGAGGAGAAGTATGAACAGAACCAAGAAGTCATATTTCAAAAGTTAAGAGCTTATTTTAATTCCAGATAATGGCAACAGTAAAATCCAGTCTATAAGCTCGCTGCTGACAAGTCTTCATATGTACAGTGAAAACAGTAAAACAATGCAAGTTTGTAGTCAGTAGGGCTTCCCTATTGATTCCAACATTTTCCTTCTCTCTTCTGCCAAGGGCATCTCTGGTTTCACACCATTTCTTCTCCTTTGCATCATAATATCATGCTGAAAATAAAAGAAAGTGAGAATGAGAACAGAGATTTCTCTGAAGTCTTTGCCTCTATTCAGTAGGCGCTCAATAAGGTTCTTCACAGAGGTATTTTTTTATTTCAGAATCCAGATACTCTAGATCTGATTAGCTGATAGCTTAAACTAAGTACTAGGGCATCTAGTTATCTGTTAGTTCACCTTGCTGCTTCAGGAGACAGTGAAATCAAATAAAGAATTACGATATCCCCATGAGACTGTGTCAGACATCTGTCTGGACAACAGCTTTTTTGTTGTTTGTGCAAGTACTTAAAAGCATCAGCTAAAGAGCTCTTCACTTGCAAGGCATAAGCAAAGAAAACAGAACAGTTTAACTGTGGATAGTTCCTCAAAACTTTTCTACCCAGAAGGAGGAAATAAGGACATCAGAGATGAAGAACAAACTCTTCCTAAGCTTTATCTTAGGTTAAAGATAACATGGCCAAAAATAATGGAAGACTAGATAGACATCTTACCTCAGATAGCTTTCCTTATAGCTATTTAAGGAGAACTTATTACTAGAAATATCTGACTTAGATTCAAAGGGAAACATATCAGGTATTGTATGAACATTCACTTACAAATCTAAGAGGGTAAACTTAGGAGAGCCAAGTAGAATAGTTCGATGTATATCTGCTTAAGTCTTCCAGCAGCACATACTGAGACTACCTAGGAACTCTACCTAGGTCTGTAGGTCACTGTAAGAACAGGGGTAGTCAGCACCAATTACATCTAAAGGGTTGAAAAAGCAGTGTATCAGAAGTAATAGAGCAAAGTGTGGAGTAAGATTCATGCTCTACTGTGCTTAAACCCGCTTACCCAGAATTTTCTGCAGCTTTTGTACTTCAAAAAATAATCAGTACACTTATTCTTGTCATAGTTGTTGTCATCCATACATTTTCTAGAGGCGTCCGTTTCCTTTAACAGGGGAAAACACACTTCAGAGATGAGAGAAGTCACTGCACTAAAAGTGTACAAATTCTAAAGAATCACTGAACATCTATGAAGATAGAAGGCTGCTACTCAGATGAAAGAGGAATATCAAGGAGGGTAGGCTAACATCCATCACAAAGCATAGTAAGTAATCCCAAGCAATGACTTCATTTGGTGACAAAAATTAGTACAGGAATCCACAGGATAGCTGTTTGCCAAGATGCTTGGTATAACCCACAAAGGATGATTTTAAAAATGAATTAAGCTCATCTAACCAGGATTTTTGACTCTTATTTTAAGGATAGAAATTTTGGAAAACTGCTACCTGTTGTGTTGCTCCTATTTATGAAGGATTACTGGTTGTCAATTCACTTACTACAAAGTATGGCTTTAAACTTATTTCCCCCCCTCCTTCAAACTCTTCAAGAAGCTTTTTATGCAACATAGCCATGCAAAAGTGCTATCCACAGTGTAATCTCTAGAAGAATCGTCTTATTATTTTAGCGTAAAAATGTAGGAGCAGAAATCACAATTTGATCTTACCGCTACACATGGGTTTACATCATGGTCTCTAAGCTGTTGCACATGTCTGGACATTCTAGATGGACACCTGCACCTTGGTCAGAAACAGAAAAGAAACAGGTTAAGAATCTTTTTTTTATATTGAAGGATTACATTTCAATTTCCTTTGCAGCATCTAGTGAAGGCCTCAGTTCAGCACACGAGCAGCTTAAAGAATTAATGCAAAACTACTGTTTTGCAAAACTGTATTTCAAAGAGGGCAAAAAAAGAAAAAAGCACTGTCTAACAGCAAGACAACTCAAACCAGTTCAGTCCATCACCAGGACTCTTATTACCTCATAAATTCCTACAGGGAGCGAAGCCATTGTGGTGACCCTTATACGAGCCCATCATACTGCTGAGGAAGTGAACACATCTAGTATTTTGGTCAAACAGCTACAGGAAACAGCCAGCACTTTATACACTCATCCTTCAGTTAACAAGGCTGGGGAACAAAGCACAAAAAAAAAAAACTTTCCAGACTTGTGCCTACTTTTTGCCTGGATCACGCTGTCTGCATTCTTTACTGAGCTTTCCCAGATGTATAGAAGCCTTCTCCTGTGTTGCTGTATCAGACAGGTATTTGATAACAGAAAAAAGCTGTCGCCCTGCAAGGAGACACCCACTTACAGCATGCTTGACAGTCTGAAATCTCAGAACTGGTCAAGTCTCATTGAACTGGTCAAATTTTTGACCGGTTTATTAGTTTGATACTGAATGTAGAAACCGCAAGCTTAAGAGACAGTGAGGGTCCAGTGCCGATAGCCTAGTTGATCCAGCATTGCTCTTTTTGATGTCATCAGCAGACCCTTTGCTACTTCCCATGCATTAACTCTGGCAGAGATGTGGCCTGGAGGTTGCTGTTCCAAACAGAGACCAATTCTAACAAAAAGGCTAAATTAACATTTACCACATGACAGTGAGCGAACACAGAGAAACACAGGACTGAGGAAGAAACAGTCCTTAACAGCAAAACTAAAGTGCAGTTGATTAAGGAGATTAAAAACACCTTGGCTTGGTCTCAGTTTATTTTTACTTAAGATATTGCTAACTCTAAGCTCAAATGCGTTTCTTTCACGTTTGTTACCAATTACTGCAGACCTGCAGTAAAAAGCCAATTTTGTGCTATATCAGCTACCAAAAGTCAAATATTGCTGGCAGTTACCCGTAGACAAACCTCAAAGAAAACAACGTTCTAGAGGAAGGTTCCTCCTCCAGTAAAAGCAGGCTAAGTGAGTAAGCCTTAATTTTCACATCTAGGACTTCAGCATACTCTCTTGGCAGTTGGAATATCCTCCCCCCCCTTTTACTCCTCATGACACAAACAATTTTATGGGAGTGGGTCTTAAAAAAAAAAAAGAAAAAGCACACTCATGCATCAGGAAACTCTTCCACTTTCTTTTGAGAGCCATCCAGTGTTGAAGCTGTTTGATCAGGCAGTTAAAACTAAAATGGGGACACAGGCAAGTAGAACAGCAGCATCATCCTGGATTTGAAAGCAGGAGGCAGGAAGAAAAAGGGGAAAAAAGCAGCATATCACAATACCTCATCTAAGTTCAGAACATGAGATTTTGGAGGTTTGTTTACATCCAGTTGTAACTCAGCATTACACTGACTTTAGGAGTATTGGTAAACATCACCAAAGCAATTATACTTGAAGGAGTACAATATAAGATTGACTTCTGCCGCCTTCTCTGACAAAGGATTCCCAAGGGATTTGTGGGCACCATCAGCACTGTTCTTCAGACACACTGCAATTAACATTTTCAGTTTGATTCCGCTACCAAGATCTGCTAACATACCCAAATCTAGGATACGACGCATAGAATACATTGAACACCTACTTAATGAACAGGCAGTCTGAGTTCCTATGAAGCTGCTAAGTTCAGAGTAGGCAAATGCTTAAACATAGTTGGTACTATTAAAGGTCTGATACTTCCCGTACACGTTCCCTCCTCCCCTGCTTTCCAAAGTTCTTCAGAATTTGAAACATTATCAGCTAAGAAGGGCAAGCAGGTCATATTCAAACACTACTATTTGATTAAATTAATTGGCAGGAAGTTATCTTTTCCCCACAGTTTTTACACGTATATATACTTCCCTTTCCACTTTAAGGCTACAGGTCTGAGCCCAACCATAACCAAGGTCTCATCTATGCCACAGTTCTTAATTACACTTTAACACATTAACAGTTGTAAGCTGTACTACAGAGAAATACATTTGTTGCTAGCGTTCTGTAACCCTAAGGCTTTTTCAGTTCATAAACCATCAGGACATTTTCCATGGGCTTCCTCCATTCAAAGGGTTTATATATATATATATGTATATTTTAATACAGCATTGCTGATTATGCTGCAACACAAACCAGGTTATTAAACCTTAAACCCTAAGGCAAGGGCTGTATAAAAACTCTACAGTTTCTGCCGATATTACAACGGGGAGAGCGGAGGGGGAAGGAGACAGTGAGCAGATCTGGATGCTCCACACGAGAGAGCCGGTTTGCCTGCCTCAGCCTCCAACGGGGGGCTT